TGCTCTCATTGATCTTCAACTCCATTCGCTGATGCCATCCAATAAGAGCGTTAACAACTGATGGCAAGCAGAGTTCACTTATTCCATGTAGTGTACGACATATATTATCAAAGTAGGGATCACCACCGCGTTGCAATGATTTGTTCAGTAATTTCTCCTGAATAAAAAGTTAGAGAAAAAAATCCTGACTCGTCAGCCTGGTTGAGCCACTTAATTTGGAGAGCTCGTTACATAAACTCAATGCTTCCTGGTAAGCAACTAAAGTAGAAGCATTAACAAAATTCTCAAAATGCGGGGAAAATATTTGTTGTTTGCAACGCGAAAGACACAAAAAACATTTATCGCATTGAGCGCGATCCACAGATGTCAAGGATTTTGGGATGCGAGGGAGCGAGCGACCCACGGCTGAGTTACATTTCTGATTGCATGTGTCGCCACAAATGGATTTTTAATGTAACCAACGGTAATAGGTGAATTATCTTCAGAACTTTTGGAGGCAGTAGTCAATGAAAAATCAACGAAAACGGGGTGGTCCTATGCGCAAGACGTCAAATAATGCGCTGGTGTCAGTGGGGTCAATACAGTTCTTGAGAAGTTAGAATTGAAGGTAAGAAAACGACGAAAAAATAACTCTTCACGAGAAAAGTAGATTTTTCGCAAATTGAAAGATTTCTAAGCTTAACATGAAAAAATATTTAAATATAAATCTTACCACAGGCTCTTCAGCTACACTCTGCAATTTCCTCTCAAAAAGACTGAACAAGTCCAGGAGGACAGATTGTCCTGCAAAAGAGCCAATTGGGAGAGAGTAGTCCAACGCCACAATGGGTACAATTTTAGGGAGACCCCATGGTAACTCCGCCGCCACCGTCCTGAACGAAGTTACAAATGTGATATTATCATTGTCAAACATTTGAAAGCTTACACTTTCTCTTGAGTGGGGCGAAACGGCAGAGCTGGATCGCTCTTACGTCTACTGTTTCTGTTTCTTTGGGTCATAGCAACTTATGCATGGATATTCATATGCGCCATCCTCATCCCTTTAAAACGTTTTTGAAGAGCTTCGAAAAAAAATTCAGAAAAAACATACGCAAAGATTGAATAGATAGGTGAGTCTAATAAGTATCAATTGTTTCTTATTCGTTAAACTGCACACAAGGTGCAGTAGACGCGAAAAATTGCAACATTTATCCAAGCACTAAAGAAATCCAAAAGCCAACATCCGATGCGTGAAAACCATGCCATACTAAAGAGATTGTTGCGCAAGTGAATATTCCCATACGGATACTTCTTCACATTAGCCTTTCATTCCAGTTTAACATTAGAAGCATAGAATGAGCTTATCTGAGAAAGAAAAAGATGGTCATCGCAGATTTCGATGTCAAATCGTTAGTAATGTCATTATCCACTGAAAAGGTTTAAAAAAATATCCGCTAGCTTTAGAAACTTAATGAAACAAAGAAATGTGTGATGCCTAGAGGAAAAAACCAAGAAACAAGAAACATTGCGTACCAAACAACTCGTATTATGAAACAAATTCAAATTGCTTCAATGAACTACGTAGTACTAATAACAACACTAAGAAGTGAAAGCACTAACTAAAAAACTGATCCTGATAAGCCTGAAATTCAAATCAGCTGATTCTCTACCTACATCACAACACTTTTCCAGGGGACGAAGCGTAACCGATTCCATAGAGAAATGCACTGCGACATGTGCCGTCGTATTCATGATTTTAGTGCAACTACACAAACTCTAATTCTTAATTCTTATGGTTGGGTAGAGGAGTATTTGCTGGTACCTATCGTGCGGTTTATTAGCCATGGAGCAATCGGATGATTGGTGGGCTGGTAGTTTCTAGTTGTTAAGTATCCTCTACTTGCTTACAAACCGATGGAACCCAGAAGCCTCCAACAGTGTGACAGATTCCTTATTCTGGTCCTGAATAATTGCTCTGACAATATAGCGAGTCGCTCGCTTACCCAACTGAGTTTTCTGGCCTTGCGTTGGACCTCTATACGAGGATGTGGCTTCAAACTTGCCGGGTGAAACAGCTGGCTATTTCCACTAGATACCCGCGCACCCTCTAAGAAACAAAGAACATAGAAAGTCAAAGAAAATGTAGAAAGTTGGGGAACTGAGGGGAAGAGGAAGGGGAGG